TCCTTACCATGAAACCAATATAATAGGCACGGAATGGTACATCGTGCGGCACGGCATCACCCTTCGTGCTTTACACTCTTTCCTCACAAAACAAACAATGCACGGCATCACCCTTCGTGCTTTAACTCTCTTTCTCACCCAAACAACAATCACAAACAATAGGGCAAGGGAATAAATAAAATTTGTAATAAAGATCCCGGCAAGGGAGCGACAATTCAACAAATAAATCCCGGTAAGGGAACAACATTAGTAATATCAACATCCCGGCAAGGGAGATAACCAATAAATCAACAATAGCCCGGCAAGGGTTTCAACATAATAACTTCTTTTCTTTCTCACCTTTACTTCACAATTCACTTCATAACTCGAGCCCATGCTCTAGAGATTCAATTATCACTTACACTTTCACAATTCGTTACACAACTTGAGCCAACGCTCCTTAAATGTTCATAGGTCACAATTCCTTCCACAAACTTTACACAACATATAGAAACCATCACCAAGACATGAAAGGTACAACGAAGTCATGAAAATCACAATATAAGACCCACGGGCATGCTAGACACCAACGTATAGATACTCGTCATCATGCCTATACATCGTACTCAACAATTACCACATAGCAAATAGGACTCAACTCCTAATCCCTCAAGCTAAGGTTAGATCAAACACTTACCTCGAACTTCCACGGCCAACTCAAGCCTCAAACACCGCTTTTCCTTTTGAATTTGGCTCCAAATCAATTGTATCTAGACATAATCGACTTAATAACATCAATAAATGCTAAACAATTCAATTCCAATGCTTAATTATAGCTTTCCCATCATTCTTCCCAAAAAGTCAAAAATCGACCCCGGGCCTGCTTGGTCAAAATACGAGGTTCGGACCAAAACCCGATCACCCATTCACCCACGAGCCCGAATATATAATTTGTTTTGTAATCCGACCCCAAAACGAGGTCAAATTCCCAAATAATCAAAAAGCCCTAACTCTACCCAAATCCCTAATTTTCTACCCTTTAATCTCATGTTTTAGGCTTAGAAATCTAGTGGTTGATAAAAATGAAAGAAAACGAGCTTAAGATTACATACCTATGAGGTTATGGTGAAGTTCCTCTTCAAAAATCGCCCAAGAGGTGTGGAGAAGATGAAGTTTATGAAAAATGGAGGAATTCCCGTAATGCATTCTGTTTTGAACTAAAAAAATAACTGGGCAAGTTTGTTCTATGCGATCGCGGACAACACATATAAATCATATTGAACCTGTACCGGGCTCCGGAATCATAATGCAGGCCCGATACCACAGGTTTCACATAACATTTCACTTTCAAAATCCTTTATATTTTTCAGAAAATAATTTCTTTTAAAAATTTATTTCTCGAACTTGGGACCTCGGAATTCGATTCCGGGCATACGCCCAAGTCTCATATTTTTCCATGGACCCTCCGGGATCGTCAAATCACGGGTCCGTGTCCGTTTACCCAAAATATTGACCGAAGTCAACTTAAATGCATTTTTAAGTCAAAATTTATCATTTTTCACAGATTTTTATACAATAGCTTTCCGGCTACGCGCCCGGACTGCGCACGCAAATTGAGGTGATGCTAAAAGAAGTTTTTAAGGCCTCGGAATGCAGAATTCATTTTAAAAATAAGTAAAGGTCATCACATGGCCGTAAAAGGTCATCGCCACTGTCATTACCTCTGTGACTATCTGTGCTAAGTCTTGAGGGTTTTGGAGACGTACTATGATCTCCTGGTTGTTCACGATCATGGAGAATGTCAGGGCATGATTTTGTAATCCCATCTCCAATCATGATTGAGGAGGTTGAAATGGATTTGGAGCTTGTGATGTGTATATCGCTGGGTAAGTGGTTGGAGGGGTGTGTGTGTGTGTGTGTGTGTTGTATTTCATGGTTTCTGGGTTGAGGAAGTGAATGTTGACTGGCCTGAATTGCATTAAGGAGGGTCGCTGATGTTGGGTTCTTAGTGAAAAAGATGGAGTGTTGTGTCCGTGCATGGTTATAAGTTGTTTGTGGTGTTGAAGGATTAACAATAATGTGTGAAGGAAGTGGGATTGGTAATTATTGTTGAGTATTAGTAATATTTGTTGGATTGGCTGGTTGAGGCAGTTGTGATTGAGTGGAAGGGGAGGTTTCGTATGGATCGGGCTTCTCACGTGGGTTGGGATGCAGGGAAGTGGTGTGCATGGAAAGATGATTGGTTTCGTTTTGTGGTGAATTGGGCTTAGGAAGAGATTGGGAGGGATCATGATGGTTGTTTGTAGTAGTGTGTGGCCTGGGAATAAAATTTGTGGAGTGCATGGTAGGTGTTGTCTGATTGGGTATTTCGGGTGGTGGTGCCAACGTGGCATTGGTAGAAATAGGATGAGTGGCAGTAGGGTTACTATTTGCTCTAGAATGGAGTGAAGTAGGGTAATTATCAGGGTGATTTTCTAGTGGTGGATCGAGTAGTGTTGTAGCTATTTGGGCCGACCCGTTATTAGTATCCATGTGTTGTAGCTGAGCCACTATTTCTTCTATTGGTCTTGTAGATTTGTCCACTAATTTATGAGTAGGTGTTTGACCTACTAGGTCATTAGAAGAAGTTAATGAAGCAAAACTATTTTTTATTGTTAATAAGTTGTTGTTAGGTATAACATTTGTTAATTGACTAGTAATAGGAATTGAGGATTGCGTACCTTTGTCATAGTCAGCTGGCTGGTGCCCGGATGGTGAAGTGGTATCTTTGGTGATGTGAATTGCTGCATGTTGGCGTAGCATAGATTTGGGTTGCTTTTTTGGAGAAGTACCCTTCTTCCATTCAGAGTCTAGATGTTGTAGATCCATTGTTTCCCGTTCATCAGAAGAAGAAGTGGTGACTGTTGGTGTTGGTAGAACTGGTGTTGTGAGTTTCATAGGGCAATATATCGTAGTATGGCCAATTCTACCACAACGGACACATAGCATATTAAGTCCTTCATAAAGGATTTGCTGGCGATGATTCCCTATAAATACAAGTGATTTTATTGGTTGTTCAAGAGGAACTTCAATACATATTCGAGCGCATCTTCCTCTTGATGCAGATGGCGTGCATATATCAATTTTTAGTTGCTTACCCAATTCATTTCCAACTTGTTGTAAGATATGAGTATCATAGAATTCAATGGGTAATTCTGGTAGCCTAAACCAAATGGCCGTGTAAGTAAGTTTGGATGTGGATGCTAGAAACTTAGGTTCCCATCTTCTAACTTATAGAAAGTGGCCTAACACAAACCATGGCCCCTCGTATAGAGCTTTTGTCATATTTTCTTCTTTTTGATATTTGATTAGGAAGAAGTCATTACCTAAATCAATGAGGCCAAAGACTCTGTTGGTTTCCATAAGTGTTGCAATTTTTGCTTGAGGGTTAAGTGTCCCACTTTTCTGCCAAAAACTTTAATTATAATGGAGTATTTTCAAGGAGAGTAAAGCCATGTTTTGTCTTCTGTGGAAAGTGGAAGGAAGTTGTCTGAATTGTTGGCTGCTATTGTTTCTTCCGACATGTGAATGTGGTATTGGGTATCAGTGATGGTTGAAATTGAGGCATCATTACTGTTGAGTAATGTTTGGAGGAAAAAAGGGGTTTTCTGGGTGGTGATTGGTTCATCAATATTCATAGAGTGTAAGTCAGGTGGATCAGTGTTGGGAATTGTAGTAGTGTCGGTCATTTTGTGGTTGATTACAGTGAGGAGGAAGATAGGAAGGAATAAAGTCTAGTGAGAAGTTAAGTTTCTCTCTCAACATCTCTTCACAAATGGCCAGTGATGATGTTTCACACTCTTCTTCTTGTGATAAGTGCCGTAATCGAATTGACTTGATGCAATAAAATAGGAGTTTTAATAAATTACTAGTAATAAATAATACTTCACAATATAAATTATAATATTACGAGTTCAAATCTAATGTTTCTTTACGCTTTCTAGTAACCCTTTACAGCTTGTTTGGATAGTTGTTACATGTTGCATTGTATCGTACTGTTACTTTAAATATAATGTTTATTTTGATTGTTACTTAAATCTTATTGTATCGTATCGTTTAAATCTGTCACGTAACGACAGAAAAATGCCACTTTATGGAACGACCGATTTGGTGTGATCGCATCGTTTTTTTTTTTTTTTTTCTCTCATCTTGCCTTTTTTTTTTTTTAATTATTAAATAATCCTATTTAACCTTTATCCTACCTTTTTGTATAATAGTATTACCCTGTACCTTACTTTTTCTTTATAATATTGCAAATTTATTCTTCATATTGTTGGCGCATAACAACTCTCCAAACAGTTAGAAGAAACGAATTACAATTCTTTCTTTACTTTTTTGTAAGGATTAAAATTGATATCTTTGATACTCCATAATCTAGTTTATGTCAAAAAACTAATAACTCAAAATTGATCATGTAAAGTCGTCTAAGTCTTGTGAAAACAAGTGCTCCCACAAGGAAATTTAGTAAACCTAATCTTTTACGTAATATAATTCTAGTATTACTACTCTAGTATTTTTAGTCATAGATGGCAATTTGTTTGGAGTACATGATACACTTTACAGATTAATATCAAGTATTAGTATCTAATGTAGCAGTAAGATGTGACAGATTCAAGTTAATCCCTTTTTTCAATAGAAAGACTTGTATCTAGTCATCAAATTGTTCAGTTCTCCTTCCTTTTTTCTTTTGGTATTTGAGGGCAATTTTCCTAACAAAAAAATCTTCTTCTATCTTTTCTCATTACATGCATTACTACATTCTTTATTTTGAGCACTATTCAAAAAATTATGCTCCACTGAATTCCTCCTTTTTTCTGAAATAAGAAATCATTGACTCTATGTTATACGGACTCTCCAAAATGTTATCGTGCGCGTGTCGGATCTTCCAAGACACATATCCAGTGAATATTTTCGGAGAGACCGAACAACATAGCTTTGACTACATTGCTTCGTTATATTCAGATGTTACAAAAAGAATAAAAGAACAAAAAACATCTTGCCTGGCATATAAATGACAAAACATCCAATCCTTTTGTTTTTTGTTTTGTTTCTTTTCTCATTTGTTTTTCCTTCTTTTCTGCTAAATAAAACGGGAACATTTTATCTCATGATTCCATAATTAGAGAATATTGTTGCTACAAAGATCCAAAAGGTACTGTACTAGTAATACACATATGCAACACATGAAAGTGCAAAAATAACTGACTGAACTAGAGTGGAGCTAGGAATTTTGCCCTTGTCTTGCCTAAAGAAGAGACCATTGTATAAAGGCAAGTTAATCAATACCAGAAACCCACACAACAAAATTTGCAAAGCCATAGTATCAAATGCATATTTCAATCCCACTTCTCTGGTTATGATCACTTCTTTCACTAATCCCACAAGGCATAAAAGATTGAGCATTGCCAATGTTGACAAAATGGTAAGCATAGGTGAAGCATTTCCAAATTCCATTTTTTCTTGCTTGTATCTCAACAAAACATCCTCATCAGAGACTTTTGGAGTGACAATGAATGTTGAATTAGAAGAACCAAATAACTTCAACATGACATCAAGAAAGGCAAATATGTAAGAGCTTGTTCTCTTATAAAGCCACATTCTTAGTTCATTCCACCATCCCAAAATCGTTCCACCACTCCACAGAAATTCAGCAGAACTGCATATTAGTTCCGCGATTATCACATAAGCAAATGGCAAAAACCATTTGCTGGAAACCTTCATAAGATCAGAAGGAGAATTTGTCAATTTCTTTTGAAGGCCAGTACTTTTGCTTACCATGTGCTTTTAGTGCCAGTTATTACTAAATATTAGCATTTTGTTCCTTATTTGTTTGTATCAAACCATAACGGGATAGTGAATTTTTATAGAATGAGATCAGCTATTGTATGTGTATTTTGCTAACAATATCATTACCTCTAATGAGATTACTTCAATTTCGACACATTTGAAGTAAGGTTTTTATAGTGGAATTCTGCTATTCTTATTCACTCAACTTGTAGAGAAATCCAAGACTGGAACTATTGATGACTCGACATTAGTTCTAAAGTAATATGGATTCACACCAAGGAGAAACGGAATAAGTTTCTAATTTCCAGAATCGTCTTAGCTAAACCAATAGGATTCAATTTCTTTTTTCCATTCTCCCTCCAATTTAAAATGCATTATAGGGAGAAAGACCAGAAACTCTACATTGAATGTGGCTCATAACCACTACTAGTGCAGTGAGTTATTAAACAAGACTGACATGAAAGCTTATGTATGATATTGTCAGAAAAATGTGATGATTAAGGGATACAAATACCTATGGAAACAAGGAAATTCCTTTGAGTAGATAAAGGGAAGGGACGATGGAGTAGTAGAGTGTCGCAACACAATTAGGAGACCAGAGGCAGTAAGTGAGATACCCCAACAGAAGGCCAGGATTGAGCTTTCCGAGTCCATACCAAGCTGGGCTGTACTTTGAAAACAGAATCATTAGATCGCCCTCGGACCATCTCTTATGCTGCACTAATGTCTGATCCAAAGTAGTTGCAGTAACCCCTAAAAATCCCTTCCTTTCTGGTTTATAATAAACAGATTTCCAACCTTTGCACTGAATTGTCAACCCGGTCAATACATCTTCAACTGGGCACCCGTACTTCAAACCAATCTGCCATGTTAATAAAGTTCACAATGAGTCAGTTGTTGAAGTGTGTGACCATCTAACCTAAATTTTAAGCTTTTAGAGATAGCATACTATTATTTGCGTAATCACGTCTTCAACTTCATACCTCGTTTCCCCATTGAGTATTTTCCTCATACGTGCAACTTGCTAATATTTCTAGTCTTTCTTCCAACTCGTGCACATTTTCTTCCATTTTTCCAGGACGTGCACTCTTCAAATCAATCTGAGCATCCTTGCTAAACTCTCTACCACAAAGGGTGTCTCTCCTATGAAAGCAGCCAGTTCCAGTATACAGAGGGCCTCCATTACCATCCATACCATGGAATTCCACCTTAATTTGATGTAAATAATGGAGAAGAAAAATTCATTTAACGACACTAGCATGAGTATTTTCAACACACATTGAATGATTCAGGAGATGAACAAAAATGTGAGATGTACTGACCCCATCGATTACTCTTAGAGAACCATAAAGTTCATTTTTAGTGGTATTTTCGAAAGATTGTGGAAACTGCACAAATGCAATTTCATGACTTTTTTCTTCATCCATAAAGAAGCAAAGAGTATCTTGAATTGAGTTTGAGTTGTTTGAGTACATATCACAATCTACATTTAGAATTATTGGCCCATTGCTGATCTCTGAGGACACCCTGATCTGAAAGTTTTAGTACAAAAATTATCCACATTATTCTCCAAGATTTCATGAAGAAACAAAAAAACTTACTCACTTATGTGATGAGAAATTGGTAAACATACCAATGCATTCATCGCCCCAGCTTTGAAATTATGGAAGTGCTGGGGACGCTTCTCCCGAGCCAAGTAGACCAAAGTTGGCAGTATTACTCCGTCAACGTCCTTTGTCTCTTCATCTCTGCTGTCACTTAGTATCTGGTTCGAGAACGAAAGAGAAATAAATAAAACCAGATAACTAAAGCTACATGAATTCAAGCCAGTAGGTGATAGTTCAGCTTGTTAACATGTAGCCTAGCATCAGCTAAGATGATAAATCAGCTCGGATGAAAAGAACCGAGAACAAGTCCTGGCTTGCAACACTAATTTTGATAATTTGCTCCTTTCCTTTCCTACCTGCAAGATGGAAGCATGGTTTCCCTTGGATGAATATGAATCCCATTTGGAAAATCCTGTATGCTCTAATTTTTCTTTATCTGGAATTACTCCAGCTCTGCATACAACTTCAATTCTGTTTGCCATGTCGTCATATAATCTCTGAAGCATTAAGAACAAAAACTGGCTATCAAACTGTATATATTCCACAGCATTTTAATCATTTCACCTACTAACTGGCTAGTAGTAAGATATATGCTTGGACTTTTTTGACAATTAGAACAACTTTCTCGTAAGTAATAACTGAGACAGATTATTAAAAATAATCAATGGTGCTTACTACATACAAAATCAGAAGCATGAAATTAACAAAATGTCACTCCTATAGTAATTTTGCACATGATGGTCAGTTATTTAATTGTTGAAACTAGATTAACGCTTCTTACAGAGAGGGCACTAAATTCTCAACTTTTCTGATGCAATTCATCATCAAGTAGTAGGTAATGGAACAAAACGAGCAAACGAAAAAGAAAAAAAACAAATATACAGATCCCCCTAAGGTGGTTGGCAGAATCATTCACCTACTTTGTTGCATTTGTTACTTTAATAATTGAAAGTTCAACAACTTCATCATTTGGTTCAATAACTTCCAATGAAACAAAACAATGCTTTAAAGTTTAAAACACTTTCATCCTCTAGGATAATGCAGAACAGGCAAAGCCTGAACTGCTATTCCAGCTAAAAATAGGATAAAAACCACTCCTGCTGTTTGATGGTGGTGTTCGACTAAAAAAGAAAACGATGTCAAGTTGAATAGAAATGTTTGAATACCTTTATTTCGGAAAAATGTGCATCAGATTGAGCAGATGCAGACAAAGACGTAAAATAGGCAGCTGGGGATCTTGGCTCAATATTGAAATTCTTACAATAGGGAAGCCAATGCTTTGAGAAGCGAGAAGCCTCTAGCAATGCATAAAAGGTAAGCGCAGAGCCAGCATCATCTGAGAGATAAACACTAAGTTTTTCTGGTGGATAATTGTAAGACATGACTGATAAAACTGTATTGATCACCATAATTGGTGGCTCTATCGCAGGATCAGCTGTGCACACAAATACATCTACTCTTGGCAACTCATTCTCATACCTGTTTCATGGACAATAGTAGTAATTAACTAACTAAATAAAATCATGCTTTATCTAACAATTTAAATTTTCAGATGATATAGATTACAAAATTTAACATATTGTCAAAGCAGGCACTGAGTTCAAATCTCATCGTCACTCTTCATCAAAACAAAGTTCCACATGCGTAGCCCAGATCATAATTAAGTGGTAAATAAAAGTGTATTTTTTCCTACAGTTAAAACATTTGCATAAAATTGTGACACCCTAGGCTAATCCACATGGACAAAACACGGGTTAGATGCTGGATATATAAGCAGACAGACATTAGATCCGAGTGACGCGTTTTAAACCCGTGAGGGCTAGGCCTAGAGCGGACAATATTACTAGCGGGTTGGGCGCTTACAGATGGTATTAGAGCCACTCCGAGTGCAACCTTGAACGGTGGCGGCAAATCTTAGCAGGTGTACATGACATCCTAGGCGAATCCCACATCGATAAAACACGATAGACATGCTGAGTATATAAGTAGACAGGATTTAAACCCTAGTGATACGTTTAAATTCTGTGAGGAGCTAGGCCCAAAACGGACAATGTTACTAGGGTACTTGGACTGTTACAAAAATGATTCTTACCTTTGTAAGAGCCTGTCTCTAAATGTGTGGCGAAGAGTTCTGTTCCAACGAAGAGATTGAGTGAGGAGCCAGTAAAACCCGAACCATAGTTCAGCACCAAACATTCCAATCCAACCCAATCTGCCATTTTCGCCTGGTTTTGGTATGTTATATAATCTGTAAGTCCAAATCAAGATGATTCCACAAAGCAAAGAAGTGGCAAATAGCCTATATATTATCCTGCCCTTTGCCTTCTTGGTCTCGAACAAAGGCTCATATTTTGCCTTTCCCATATACCTTTCTCTAGATATTTTGATGATTCTCTTCTTCTCTATATATACTACTCCTAGTTTCTCTGTGTGCTTGTGTTTCTTACAAAGACAAAGAGAACTATTGCGTTTGTAGTGACGTTTTACTGATTACTGCAGGAATTCAACTATGACAGCTGAAGATGAAACATTTCTTTATTATTATTATTATTATATCCTAAGAAGATGATAAATCATGAAAGGTGGAGGGGATAGGAGCTCTGTCGATGTTAGCCAATAGTTTGCTAAAACAACTTTCAAAAAATGGGGCAACTTGAAATTATAAATTACTATTATTTTTTAAGATATCTATCTGGTTGGGGCCTCCATGTGACCCCCACGATTGGTGGTCGTGGACTAACAAGTGCGTCAAATTTACCAAAGTAGTAGTAGTACTCCTTCGATTTAAATTATATGATGACTCAAAAAGTAATTAAAAAGATAATTTTTTTTAATTTAATCTTAAATATACTCTATAACATTTGAAATTTGTGATCTTAATTTTTTTATAATATTTGTGTAGTTATAAAAATTTCTCTTTAAAGTAAAATAAATAATATAAAGTTAAATTAATTTTTAAATATACGAATATATTTATTTAATAAGAAAAACAATGTCATATAAGTTGAACGTCTATTTCCAGAAAAGGACATGTGAAGCTGCATTTTGTAAAGTAACTGAATACCTTATAAAGCCCTTTGATGGGACAATTACTCTTTCAATTGTCAACGTTCTTGACAATTGATGATTCAAATAATTTCAGAGATATATGATGCTGCTATATTTTTCTTTTCTTTAACTTTGGAGAGAGTTGAAGAGATTCAGCTTTAAAATCTGTAAATATCGTGAAGTAAACAAGTTATGTGATCACGTTAGCTTGACACATGCAAACCAATATTGTTGCTGCCACGACGCAGATGAAAAAATGGAACCCTCTTGAATATTCAAAAATAAAAATATAAAATATAATAAAATTATTCATTATATGAAGGATACACAAGGTGCTATTTATAAATTATGCTCCTTCACAATTTTAAAATTAAAAAAATGATCTTTTCAGATCTCTTATGTATAAAAAATAGATCTCTTACGTGTAAAAGTAAATCTATCATGTATAAAAAAAAAAAGGAAAGATCATAAAATTAAAATAAATTTATACAAAGTCATGAAACCAATTGAGGTCTGAATGCACAATTGAATAATGCATCATAGCAAACAGGTCATGATGTGGCTTAATGAACTTACCTTTATAGGCAGTATGGCGTGTTTAAACTATAAATTCTACAAATATTCATTTCTTACTTAATAATCGTGCTCAATCGACTAGATTCATATAAATTAAAACGAAAGAAGTAATAATAGTACCTGTTAGTGTGGAGTTCATGAGTGATTTCAATACTAATTAAGGTACTTGATGGTCGTGAGTTTGAGCTAGTTTGGAAGAAAATCTTAGTAGGAAGCCTTGTGTCACTGATCGTCGAAAATCTTTACAAAATAAATGATATTCCTTTTTTCACAGCTTAAAACTCCTCAATAATTAATGCTGAGATATCTAACCCTAGCCGTTCTTCAGACGATTTAAAGTCTATCTTTTAACACTTGTAGTGGTGTTTATATAGACAACGCTAGAGTTAAAGCTGGATTGACTAAATGGCCTCACAATAAGCTAGAACTCCGTATGGATGTACTATGCCCAAAAAAATATAGTTTCCAGCAAAAAAAAAAATTTACAATAGAAAAACAGAAAAGAACACATCCAACACTAACATAACTAAATAAACGGCTGATAAGAAAACAATCCCCAAATCCTAATAAAACCATTATTGAGACATTGGTATACAGGTGACATGTAACTTACATGTAGAGGCGGATCTACTTTATAAGGTAAGGATGGTACGCCACCCACACACTGCAGGAAAATTTTGGCTATTTATGTAAATATCTGTAATAATTAGTATAAATATTGAATGGCACCCACATTACACAAAACATCTCTGGGTGCCACTGGTTCATAAAAGCCGCTACAGTCCTTCATCTTATGATGTACCCGGGTTCGATTCAAGTCCTTACAATGAGCCATAGACAAATTTTATAAAAAAACTTTTTTCGATATGCAATTCAATTGATTTTATTTAATATATGTAGAAATTAATCTATTTTTAGCAAAATATCTAATTGGAGGCGCTCTTTCAAGAGTTAATGATTTTTCTGTTTGTTTTTCACTTTTCTTTTAGAATAGAATTTTAAATTTTAAATCAAGTTTTATAAAAAAGTAAACTAAACCACACTTATTTGTCTATTTGCGAATATAACATCTAATACTAGCCCAAAATTGATTGAACCTCCAAATCTTAGATCCGTCCCTACTTACATGGGTAGTAGTAAATAAAAATGAAGATAAAGTCCAAATCTAATTGTGGAAGTCTGAATTATCATTTATAATTAACGAGAGCTTCAGATTTATAAAAATAGATTGTGAAGAGCATCTTACCCAAAACTTCAAAGCTTCATTTTATAAAGATACCTCATAAAGCCCGTTGATGTAACAATTGCTATATTTCAACACACATTTTCAATTGTGAATGTCCTTAATTGATATCTAAGTACATGATGGTTCAAGTAATTAATCAATTTCAAAGAAATAATGCTTCTGTCTTATTTCTATCATTACTTTTTACGGGTAGTTTAGGACTTAGGAGAAAGTCGAAGATCAGAAACTTCCTCCAGCAAAAATAATAACTTTTATTGAAGATATAATTAAGTAAAAGATATGTTAAGTTCTTAGTTCTATATATATATATATATATGTTAAGTATATATATATATATATATATATATATATATATATATATAGTTTAATGTGCTTACTGCTATTTGACCAAAAATAAATATCTTGGATCAAATAACTAAATTTATATAAATAAGGATTATTCTTAACTACAATAATATCCCTAGATGGAGTTCCTAAAGAAGCAACAAATATTACATAGATCTGGTCGGACAGTGGCGATGGCATACAATAAATATTCTAGAAATCATTCAATAATAATGAATAACAATAAATGACATTTAAGTAAATAGAAGGAATGATTCACCCAAGAAATGATGGAATAAGTGAATGTTCTTTCTGACAATGATGAATGATAGACAATCCCTTGAATATTTGAGTTATTATCGGATCTAGTGAAAAAGTATAGACAAGAATCTCAGTGAAAAGGTGATGTTCGTATCTTAGCAAGTGAGATCTGATTCTCTTTCTCAAGTCAAAGTGTGTTTTTTACAAATGAATATCACATGCCCCCTATTATTGTGTATTTTTCTATTTATAGGGAACATGTTCCTAAGAAACCCTAATAGTACAAGTGCAGAGAATGTCCACTAGAATATTCTATTTAATTTCCTATCTTGAAACTAACAGTTATAACTCTGTCAAAAGTACTCGACCTCGGCTTCGACCCTTGTTGACACCTCGACTTCGGCCCTCCTTAAGTCTTCGACTTCGGCTCTTGTTGACTCTTCAACTTCGGTCCTTGTTGACTCTTTGACCACATACTTCACCGCTTCTTAGGCTATTTTGACGAACGACGACTTGGGAACTCTTCCCTTAGTACTATCTTCGCTTAAATATTCTAAAGATAGATTCTGACCCATACAGTTAGTCCCCCCGCTTATTGAGGGCGGTTTCAGGCGGGTTCGATAAGCGGATCTTGTTCTTTGTGTTTGAAACAATCGAGCGAGCGATGCAAGTCGTGGTGGTTGCGGCAAACTGGCAGCGTGGCCCTACGTGGGCCACACATTTCACGCTTCGATTTTTCCGAGCGATTTGCTGGAATTACGCTGTCCACAAGTTAGTTTAACTTCATAACGTCATTCGTCATTATGACGCATATTCCCAATACGTTACTTCCTTTAGCGTGTGACTTCTGATTAAACTTGCCGCTTCGCTTCCGGCGCCAGTAATGATGAGCCATTTTCGGTTCTGGTGCCAATGCCTTTATAAATAGAGGTATTTGGACGCGATTTTGAGTTTTAAGTTTTCTGTTGTTTCGAAACCCCATATTTTTCTCTTGCTCTCTTCTTGCTTCGAACTCCTCTCCTCTGATCCAGTGATTTGTATTGTTCTCAACCCTTCCTCATTTGATACCTCTCTTTCCTACATTAAACTATGTCTAACGTACCTTCTAAGTCTGGCGAGGGAAGTCATGTGGTCCCTTTGGAAGTGGTGTCTCCCTCGTATGAGGAGAGTGTTCATGTCACCGTAGAGGATGAAAACTTTCCATTGGTGGAAGAGATAATTCTACGCAACCCTGATTCCAAATCTAATTTTACCAAAGCATCTGATGCTGAACCTGGAGCTTTCGGTCAGTGATGACGGTGAAGGAATTGGAAGAGCTTAAGGCCAAGTTTGGCCTTCCTAACCACATTGAGTTAATCCCGGCTGGGTGGGATACGGTGCAGGTCCACCGACCTGGGTATTGCGCCTTCTACGCCTACCCTTTCCAAGTCGGCTATTCCCTTCCTCTCCTACCATTGGTCGAGGAGTTTTGTCGTTGTTACGGCGTTTGCCCAGCTCAGCTCGCGTCGTATGTTTATAAGCTTATAAAGATGTTTGCCAAATTCGCCGAGCTAGCCAGGGTCGAGTTGACACTTCGACACTTAATACATCTATTCGCCCTTAGCTTTTATAGGGGAACGATGTTGAATCTTCGTCACCGAGGGGACAATGCTTGGTGGTGAAGATAGACGACAAAGCCAACCGTCAATTCTGTCTCGACTTCTTTTTTGTCAGAACCGAGGACGTGGTGGTCAACATCGATGGTTTTCCTGAGACGTGGAGTTATGCTCGTAAGTATCTAATTTCCCTGCTTGTATGTATCTGAATTTTCTCTTGTGCTTGGTCATAGGTTTTGACCTCTTGTCTTCTTCTCATGCAGCCAAGACCTCGCCTCCTCCTTTGGTCGCTCACATTTCTGACTAGGTTAATCGGCTCCCCCCTTACATCGCAGGGATTCATGAATGGCCAAGTTTTTTCAAGAAGTTTGGGCTTGCTCTCCCTTCGACTGGTAAGTTCCTTTTACCATCAACGTCTTAGCTTTTTTTTTTTTTGTGTTTACCTTTGCTGACCTT